CCAGTCCACACATATGCTCCATCAAGGACGGTGCTACAGGCCGCAAGGCAGTGCACTTAAAACTACAATAAGCATGTTAATGTTAATCTAACAGCTCCCCCCCCCCCCAATTTTGCATTTTGAAATGCTCCCGATTTCTGAGGGCAACTATGGTGTGGGTCCTTGTACTCACGAGTCGGGCTAACGTCCACGCTAGCTTCCACGCTAGCTGCTATATGTTTTGCATTGAGGTGATACTTGAGGCTTGATGTGCTGCGGTGATATGCGAATTCCTTTTTGCATAATTTGCAAACAACTGTGCTCTTATCGACGCTTCCATCCGTCCGTTTTTAAAACAAAATGTCCCATTCACGGGGCCAACCAAAGCGGTCTCATCAGCTTCTTCGTTCACGTTTGACTATTGTTCACTGTGGTTTGTTGTTGTCTGAAGTAATGAACGTTAGTTGGTGCTCCAGTATAATCGGTACCCCTGAAACTCATCCAGTGAGAAACGTTCCGCGGTGCAAAAATAAGTGCGATTAAAATGCGTTAATTTTTGTGTAATTAATTAATCTTAATTAACGCGTTAAAGTCCCGGCCCTAAAATATATATATATATATATATATATATTAACATAAGAAATTGAAATGAGAATTTGAAATGAAAGACAAAGCATATTTATACAAACAAATAAAATGGTATAAAAATATTTTATCTTTATTAACTGAGTATGTCTTTAGTAGGCTACAATTTGCATTTGATTTCAAGGAAGACATTTACACTTAATTGAGTATTGTAATTTATAAATTGTGTACCTTTTTAATTCTAAATGTCTTTGCACTCTATAGAACTTATGCTCAAGTTCTGAAGCAATTTCTATGGTGTTGAATATCCTGCAGCTTCTCTCTGTATGTAGTGGATTTCTAACGTTGGTCTTTCTGCTCTTTAGTTCAGGCCGGCCCCCCGAAACCAGCCAAGTCTCTGCGGGAGGAGGAGCCGATGAAGGCCTCCTCACAGGCCGAGCTGTCTGCAGAGAGGTGGGTGATGCGTTCAAGTCCTCAATATATTCTAGATACTTTGCCATGATCAGCAGCAACAACCTGTGATGAAATAGAAGAGTGTTTCCTTAGACCTTAAGAGATGATCACTTAAAGGTCTCCTATCATGCAAAATGCACTTTCTGATGTGTTTTATACATAAATGTGTGTCCCTGGTTCGTCAGGGAACTCACTAAGTGTCACAAAACAAAACTCTCTCTCTCTCTCTTCCTCCGTACCAAAATCTCTAAAAACGGGGGTACAACGGAGCTGATCCAGATTTGCGTCCGATATGTGGGCTGGCTTTACACCCACGACCCTATCAGAAACAATGCGTAATATGGTCTTTGTTTACATTAGCAAGAATCTCTAACAGTCAGAGCTAACCTGTACTGGAAAGAGTGTGTAAAAAAGCAGGATATTAAAAAAAAAAGGAACTCGCCTTGTGGTAAACCGGCAAGAGAAAAAGCATTTGGGCTCCATCCTGTTTCAGAAATAATCCTTGATGTGGTTTTGAACATGATATATGGCGTTTCATCACAGCAGCATTTAGCTGAGAACCTCCCGGTAGGATTCTGACTGAGCATTAGCTCCCATCCCCTCTTTTCTTTTTTCTTTTATAGCCAAGGACCCAAAATTAGCACTCCTAACGGGGCTGATATAGAGGGGTATGAGGCATGGCTAGAATGGGTGATCTGTTTGGTATTTTGAACAAAACACATAGACATGTATTTATATATTTTTATATATCGGAGACTCATAATTGATGCCTTAAATAGCATAATAGGAGACCTTTAACATTGAGTAACAAAAATCTGTCACTTCCTGTCAGAAGCTGCTGTATAATGTGATGACATGTGTGTAATTCCTCCTCCAGGCTGAAGGAGTTCAAGTCGTCGCTGTTCGCTGTGTTCCAGTCCGCTCACGCCCAGTCGGTGAAGATGAAGACGCTGATGGAAGACATCAACAAGGGCCGCGAGAGCCGCTTCACGGAGCCCGACATCCGCGCCGCTCTGGCCCGCATGCAGGACGACAACCAGGTCATGGTGGCCGATGACATCATCTTCCTCATCTGAGGGGCCGGCGTTTCTGAATTTGATTACATAGACTTTAAAAGAAACTGGGACGCGTATTCTAATGAACATTTACCCAATACTGTTCACATTTAATCTGCGGTCAGTTATGAAAAAAAGAAGATATTTGAAACCGTTTGTTCTCATGGTGGTTTTGAACAACTTTACTGCAGATTGATCAATTTGATGAAACCACCAAACCAACCAGCATTGCTCCAACAGAATAAGGATATTATTAAGTTGTCACCAACACTTGTGATGTCTGGATTTGTATATAGTTGAAGAAAAATTGTAACTCTTGTGTATTAAAAAATCAAATGTAATGGGACACAACTTTGGTTCTTAAATGAACTGACAGTGCTACATTACAGAATGTTACTTAACCTCTTCCACTTGTGTTGTTTTAAGGGGGGGGGGGGCATGGGATCTGTACGTGCAACATAGAATATGTACACATCATCTGAGGGCTGGGAACCTGAAGATTATAGTTGATCAAATTGATCTGAAATCCCTCTTTTATACCACATTAAGACAGACACCATGGAGCCACATTTGGTGTTTAAACATGTTGGCATTTGGAGCTTTTTTTGTATTTTTGGGAAATTCTGGAAAATGCTCTGAAAACCTTGTGTTGTCAATATACATAGTATATTCATGCATCCTCTGGTATCCCTCAGTCTGTAGTTTGTAGCTGACAAGTCTAATGAGGTTTTAATTATCCTCACAACAGCCAATTGTATAGAGCAAGAGGCGCATTCACACCGCAGTACTTTACCCACAAAGGTTCATCAGAACTTAGTTCATGAGAACTCTTTAGTTCTCATGAACTAAGTACAGATCGCGTTCACACCGGAATAAGTCCCTGGGGGATTACGCAAATGAAGCCGCCGTCGTCACTTCTTCTTCTGCTTTGGGTTTACTGGCAGGCCGCAAACAACTTCACGGCGTATACTGCCACCCCAAGTCGCCAGAGTTGGGGACTGTCTTCAGTAGAAGCTGCTGGGACTCCCAGCAGCTTCTACTGAAGCCTTCCGAGTAAACCGCCAGAACGCCAGCACTTCCTCATCTCCACCGCTCCCATGTTTTCTTTTGTGTTGCCATAAGTTGGTCTCTCTGCGTTTGTGCGCTGGGCTAATGCTAGGATAATAAAATGGCGGCTTCACAAAACGTTTTTGGGAGTTTTACGCGGCGTGGTTTGCATTCCGCCCAGCCAATCAGACATAGGAACCTTTTTCTCCCACGAAAGTACCTGCTCTCTAGCAGGGATGGAAAAGTGGGTAAAAAAGGTTCTGATTAACTAATTTTAGTTCCGGCTCTTTTTGGTGTGAGCGCGACATTTCGGAACTAAAGTGGGAAAAGTACTGCGGTGTGAACGTGGCTAAGGTCAAGTTTAATAGTGCTAATAGAACCATCCTTCGGGCAGCAGAGCGGAAACGGTGGAAATCCAAACACCATGACGACCTCCTAACCTATCAGGCTCTCCTCTCCTTTTTCTCTGCTTCGATCTCTCAAAACACTTTCTTTCAAGATAAGATCCAATCTTCCTATTCCAACCCCAAAAAACGATTTTCCATCTTCTCCACCCTCTTGGACCCTCCTAAAGCCCCTTCCCCCTCCTCCCTTCTGTCAAGTGACTTTGTTAACCACTTTGAAAAAAAGGTTGATGATATTCGCTCTTCTTTTTCTGACACACCTTTACTCACCACTGGGCCACCTTTCACCCACACACTAACCTCCTTTTCCCCACCACTTCCACCCCAGCTTCCACCTGTAGGCTAGGGGTTTAGCAGCCTCTAAAGCAGCCTCCCTCTCCTCTGTGATCATCCTTCTGGACCTGTCTGCTGCATTCGACACGGTGAATCATCAGATTCTCCTTCACACTCTCCAAGAAT